GTTCTGCTGCTGCGACAACTGACTCAAAGGTGGACAACCCATGAATCGCTTTAACTTCTGCTATGTCCGACTTCAACCGCTCGAGTTAGCGATCGCGCATCTTTGCTTCCGTGATATTGGCTATCTCGTTGCAGACGCTCAAGAACCGTCGTGTATTCTCCTGGACGCTTCCTATCTGACGGAAATGACGCAGACGCTTGCTAGCAGCTTCGGAGGCGTTCATCAAATTGAACCTTCTTTTCAGCGCCTCTACAAATCCTTCCCATGTCGTCGGAACCGTGGTAACATCTAAAGCGAAACTCCCTAAGCTCGAAGTTGCAGCTGCATGCCCCACGCCCTGTTGATGCCCGTCTGTGTGAGCCTTTTCTTACAGCAGTCTGCGTGAGTTGGCACCACCACTCCAAGGTCGCGCCCCTCAGCAGCGTAACGGAGTACTCGATCTGCTGCTGCGCGTCCGCCTCTTGCACCCCGCTCGCGGCGAAGTAGTTGTTGAGCACAAAGATCCACGTCCGCACGTTCGCGTCGCGTTGGCTTGGGTCGAACCGCTCGGGCTTCTGCGGCTTGAGCGCGCTTCGACGTTCCGGCAGCGTTTCCGCGCCAGTCGACGTGTCGGGTGCAGGAGATGGTGCGGCATGACCATGAGAAATTGACGCGAATTCACGAAGCTGTTGCATTTCAGCCCATACCTGACGATTTTCCAACGTCAACTGTTCGAGTTGGCGCATGAGTTGAGCAAGCATGTTGCCCATGTCGTTGGGGTGTTCATGGTCTCGTCCATCTTAGCTCGACGACTTCAAGTCTGCAAGTCGGCACCGCGAGACGATAACGTCGTAGTCTCGTCGTCGACGGTCGCTCGTTGGAAGTCGCTCCCCACGAAGGCTCTGATACCAAGTGTTAGGCCCGACGGCCTAATCCGCTAAAGAATTAGCGGGGTCGACTAAGTCGAGGATGAAACGCGACGGAAGACTTTGGCGAAAGAACTATTGGCGAAATAGGCGAAGAAGTTACTGAGTAGTTGAAGAAGAGTTGAATGAGAATTGATTGATAATGGCAAGAACAAGCAAGGTTGATATAGCATGCAAGCTCGAATGTCGGAAATTACTTCGTGAGACTAGGAATTGAAGGCAAGAAAGGTAGAGTGCCACGTGGCACTAGGAAATCCAAGAAGATAAGGATAAGGATGAGTTGGATGGGTTGGGAAAGTACTGTTCAAAGGGAACAGTAAATCCCCCCTTAACAACGCTGGTGGTGAGTGGTGCTCTCATGCAGTTACGAGCTGCTCTCTAGGTGCAGTACAAGCTGTTGTCAGAATGAGGAATGAATGTTGCATTGATGTTGGTTGGGGTACATATGTCAAACCCTAACTTCTGTAACCCCTAAGACAAACCTCACTACAGGCTACAACATTTGACACACCCCCATAGCCTAAGTGAGGGGTGTCTAGCAAAAACAAAAAAAGAGTACGGTCACAAGACCAGTCCAAAAGAAAACAAAGCTCAGGGTGGATCACAACGTCACCACACTCTCTGAGCACAAGCAACAGTGGCCACAAGGCCAGTCCAAGAGATCACAAGTATATATAGTAAATGTACAGACGAAGCAGGCAATAAACTCAAGTCTACGCATGACTAGAACCTGTGTCAACAAGGCCTAACTGCACACAACACCTCTGGTGGTCACAAGGCGGAAGCGCCTTGGTGAAGATGTCTGCAGTGTTGGCCTCGGACTCTACAAACTCGAAGCGAGCCTGTCCACGCCTCTGCAACTCTCGCAGAAGAAAGTACCTGACGTGAATGTGCTTCACTCTGCTCTCCAGTCGCGGCTCACGACAGAGGAGGATCGACGCCTTGTTGTCAGTGAACAAGGTCGGTGCAGAGCTCGGCCGCTCACCAAGGTCGGCGAGCAAGAAGGTCAACCAACGCAACTCCTGTGCCGCCATGGCACCAGCGTAAATCTCAGCCTCAGCTGTAGAGGTCGAGACAGAAGAGGAGCGCGTGGAACGCCAGGAAACAGCTCCAGAACCCAGACTGAAACAGTACCCCTGAGTAGACCTGTGAGTCTCAGCGTCGTCAGCGTAAGAGGAGTCACAGTGACCAGTGAGTACGACAGACTGCTGCCCTCCAAGAACTAGCCCCACGCCTGATGTAGTCGCTAGGTACTTCGCCACCCTCACAGCTCCCGTCCAGTGAACAGGACGGTGTCTCCCTGGCGCAACAAAGCGCGCAAGGATGCTGAGAGGGAAGGCGAGGTCCGGGCGAGTACAAGTCATCAGGTACATGAGGCAACCCACAAGCTCTGCGTAGGGACCACTAGGCTCAAACGGCTCGTCAGGAAAGGGACCAGTGAGTCTGTGGTCAACAGCGAGAGGTGTGCGCTGTACGGTGGAGTGCTGAAGCCCGAACCGCTGAAGGACCTGCTGCACCATGTGTGACTGTGAGAGTGTAATGGTGCGAGCGGCTCTGTCCCTGGTGATCTGCAGGCCAAGGTAGTGGCGCAGCTCACCAAGATCAGTGCACGTATGTCTCTTCTGCAGTTCGGACTTCACGTCTGCCAAAGCAACCCTGTCCGGAGTGGCGAAAACGAGGTCGTCGACGTAAACCAGAACAAAGAACGGTGTGGAGCCACGACGAACGAACAGCGACGGGTCGGCAGAAGACGGCTGGAACCCAAGGTCAGAGAGGGTAGAACGCAGAGTGTCGTGCCACTCACGAGGGGCCTGGCGAAGACCGTAAACAGGTCGCCTCAGCCTCCACTGGGTCCCAGGAGGGAAGGTGCCAGTGAAGGCCGAGGGACGACGCAACCAGACCTCCTCGTGTAGGCTGCCCTGAAGGAAAGCAGTGGAGAAGTCGAGAGAGTGTAACTCGTAGTCTCTCTGTGCTGCTACGTGTAGTAACACCCGAAGAGTGGTCATCTTCGGGGTAGGTGAGAAGGTCTGAAAGAAGTCAACTCCCTCGCGCTAACTGAAACCTCTAGCCACGTAGCGCGCCTTGAAGACCGGGGGAGATCCCGGTGGCCGCTTCACCCTGTAGATCCACATGCCGTCGACTACGTTCGCCCCAGGGGGGGGAACCTCATCGACGTAGGTGCCTGTGGATCTGTAGGAGGCCATCTCTGCGTCCATGGCAGCTCTCCACTGAGAGGCCCAAGGCCCTGACACTGCCTCAGCGTAAGTGCGAGGAGTCGGAATGTCAAGGGCGTCGGGGTCACCCTCAGGGGCGAGGAGCATGGCACAGAGATGAGGGGAAGCGGCCGCCAGGAACTCTAGCTCAAACTGCCTGTCCTCTAGGGCGTCACAGCCAAGGGCAGACACACCCCCGACGGCCAGAGGACTGGTAGGAGGAGCAGCCACAAGCGTGGTGGCGTAGTCAAGGCGGCGGGTAGAGGCAAAGTCAGTAACTGCGGCAGTAAGAGCGGACACAGAGGACACAGAGGCACGAGGGTGAGTAACAAGAGAGGCGAGAACACGAGAGAGAACAGGACGGTACGTGCGGTAGTAGTCAGTGACAGGAGTAGGGAGCGACACAGTGCAAGCTGTGGGGGGAGGAAGCAGTGCAAGCTGTGCCTCAGTGCAAGCAGCGCGGTAACTAGCGTCGAGCGAGCGGAGGTGAGCGATCAAGTCAGCAGAGCGCTCAAACGAGGCAAGATCAGGAAACAGGAACGGGAGGAAAAGACGGCCGAGAGAGACAGTAGCGGGAGTAGAGTAGCGGGCCTTAATCGCAGTGAGGTACGCAGCAGCGGTGCGAACCTGAGTAAAGTGGACCTCCTCGGACTCAGGGAGGAGGCTGCTGAGTGCGATGCAGGCCGCAGCGTCACGCGACGTCCAAGCCGTCCGGTCAGCGCGCTGATGGGCAAAGCGAGCCGTAGCAGCGTCGTCAGGAGCAGGGCCTAAAGCTGTAGGCTCGGGGGGCTCGGGGAGGTCACCAGTAGCGTGTGACCAGAGGGTCTCGCCCCCCTGGACCTGACTCTCTAACAGACGACGAGCGCGAAGAAGCCAGACGGAAAAGTCAAGGGGTCTACCGTCGGCGTCGAAACGAAGAACTCGCGGAGTCGCCATAGTGAGAACGAACGCGAACGAACAGGCGAGTAACAACCGGGGGGGGAAGAGGACTCAGTCGCAGCGGAAGAGCGGGCTAGGACGACGGGCCAAGACGTAGGGTAGGGCAACGGGCCAGGGCCTAGGGTAGGGCGACGGGCCAGAGCCTAGGGAGGGCGACGGGCCAGGGCATAGGGAGGGCGACGGGCCAGGGCCTAGGAAGGGCGACAGGCCAGGGCCTAGGGAGGGCGACGCAACGGGGGAAAGGGCGGGAGCGACGCGACGGGGCAGGGCGACGCGACGGGACAGGGCGACGCGACGGGGCAGGGCGGCGCGACGGAGCAGGGCGACGGGACAGGGCAGGGCGACGCGACGGGGTAGGGCGACGCGACGGGACAGGGCGACGGGACAGGGCAGGGCGACGCGACGGGACAGGGCAGGGCGACGCGATGGGACAGGGCGACGCGACGGGACAGGGCGACGGGACAGGGCGACGCGACGGGACAGGGCGACGGGACGGGGGAGATGGCGCTAGGCTCGGTACTAGGCGCGGTAACTACGAAACTGGTACGAACGAGAGGTAGGATCAGGATCGGGAGGTACGAACGGAGAACGGAGGAACGGGATCCCACAGGATCCTAACCTAGCTGATACCATGTCAGAATGAGGAATGAATGTTGCATTGATGTTGGTAGGGGTACATATGTCAAACCCTAACTTCTGTACCCCCTAAGACAAACCTCACTACAGGCTACAACATTTGACAGCTGTTTGGGCAAGGCAAAAGCATTAGGTTCTGTGCTCAGTAACACACCCTCTGAAATTGAACGTCACTAAGGGGCATGTATGTGGAATTCTGGAATAAGCCAGACTGGATGTTTGAACGCCTGGGATAAAACAATATAATCAGAAACACTGAAAGGTTGAGGGGAGCGGTTTTCACTGCAAGAGGAGCCTAAGACCTAGTCTACTTGGCAGTTTGCTTTGCTTTGGCAGGAGAAACGCTGGAGGCAGGAGCCTTTGCGTTCAACTCGGTCCAGGCCTCAATCCATGTAACCATAGCATCCCCTAGCTTGGAGAAGTACGGGTCCAGCGACGAGAGCTTGTCTTTCACTTGCTTAGCAAGTTCCAGATAGCATTGCTCCACCGTTGTTGCCTCCTTGGACAGCTTCACTTGTTGGAAGAAGGGGATGATGTCTTCCTGCCAGAAGATACCCTTGTACTCCTTCTTCAGGTTGACGAACGGATTGCTAGCTTTGCTGTGCCAGATGTATGGCAATCCTGTCTTCACTCCAAGACCCAAATGGTCGCAAATCACCTGAAAGACAAACGCAAAACAGCAAGAATTCAGTAGTGGTGACTAACCAGACCAATAAGGGGGAAGGAAGCCACCCCAATGTAATGGAACATTGCAATGCCGCAATCGACGCTCCTGCCAACGATTTGCGGGCATCGCAACATGTGGAAGCACAAGTCGTGCCACGTTAAAATCCAAATTCACTAAAGCATAAGTGAATCTCGTTCGCGGAAAGGCGCACACTGCATTATAGGGTGGTTTCGTCCTTTCAGTTACGGTTAGTCCCTTGCAAACAGTTCGTTTTAAGTACCGACAATGCGGGTGTTATCCGTGTGTCGCTCAAACGACTGGAACGACACACGGGCTCAGAATTCATCCCCTTCAGGTTCCAACATGATCCTCTTGGGCTCGAAAAACACGCAACATACCTTAATGCACCAGCCCGCCCACATGTCATCGTAACGCCCAATCGGCTGCCCATCGCCCATAAGCCCGAAGTACATGGCTGGCCCAATGAGCTCCCGGTCGAACGCCAGATTCATCCCGCACATAGGGAAGAGGGTTCCCTTAGGGATAGTCATCACCGCATCGACGTATCTGCAAGACGGAAGCGAGGACAAGTTAGCTACATCCTTCAAAGGGTTAAATGCTATCAACCGAGGGACGTCTGCAATGGATACCTTGAGTTTCTCTCGCTTGGCTTGACGAGCTGCGTAGGTGCGTCGTAGTCAGGGATGTTCAGCCACAACCCGTGTGACACGGCGGTTGACACTCCTTCACGAAGGCTGAATGGGTAGCCTCGGACGAAGTCAGCACCCTCTCTGTACGGATCGTACAGCGTGTTGAAGAAGTAAGGAGTGGACGGGCTCAGCAGGTTCTTAATGTGCTGTTGAAGCGCGTTGATATCCTTTCCTGACGGATCTTTAGCAACCTGTAGATAACAGGACATGTAAGGGAAGACGCATGTCGTGTATTGAAATTCGTCACCATTCACGGGGGACTATTAACAGGAGGTATTGGAATCTAACAAATAACTGACAAGAAATCTGTGACAACGTAACTCGCAACGAAAGAACTTACAAAGCAGTCGTCGTCGATTGTGTAGATGTACTTCTTCTTCGACACCATGTAGCCGAAGCACCTACACGCACTGTCCTTGAACGAGATGCACGACGCTCTCGGGCCAAGGATCCGGTTGATGTCATTTCTGTTGTACAGCTCGTAGTCAAAACCCGAAGGGACCTTGATGACCTTGGTTGGATCTCCATCCTGGACTATGATGAGATGGTATGGCTCGAAGAACGGCCGCCACTGCTCGAGGAAATCGAGGTTGCGAATGGTAGGGATGACAATATCTAGCTGATCTTTCAGGGGGATATCGTCAGCCATGGCGTCTGAAATTTGCCAGACGAATATATCGTTGAAGAAAATAGGAGCACTCCTACACTGAGGAAGAAAGGAATGCTTGATGCTAGGAACTAAAACTCGGAGAATTCAGAATCCAGATGCGTTTGAGATAGTTTGAATGGTGGCTGAGGGAGATATACCAGTCCAGAATTGAGCGGGGCCACGCAAGCACAGGAAGGAAACAGTTAGGAGTCTGGACGCAGGTGATTGGGTTTGGTGGTGCAACGCGGCAGGCACCTAGGTTCGGTGCGAGCCTCGTGTCAGTCGAACGAACGAGACGGAAGCAGCCTCTCCGCCTGCGGAACCCGACAAAAGGCGGGATTGGCGAAGCGCATAGGGTCGCCTAGCGTAGGTCGCACCGTGTTCCGAAGGGAGGCACAGATACCACAGAACCGAAGACTGCACCGTTGAATGGCGCGCAACCCCACTATACGCTGGCTTCGCTCAGAACAAATTTGCCTATGTTCCTACAAAAATTGGAACCACAAAATGGTTTCATTAAAACCTCCATCCGGTCCAAAACAATTATTAACATTCTTTGAAGCCCATACGAAAGGAATATATTAGAACAAGTCATCATACGCAATCATTGAGCGCCACCCAGCACCATTGGAGCTACCACCAGCTGCAGCACCAACGCCAGCATCAGCATTACGCCATGCATTTCCTCCTGCCCCCAAATGAGCTTCCTGCCTGAAATGCTGATTGCCATGTGGCTCAACCTGATGGTGAAAGCCCATGTGACCCATAGGAGCAGGGCCCGCAAGCATGGGGACAGGGGCGGCACCTGACAGCACTGCCATGGCTGTAGCGCTGGCTGCTGCTGTAGCTGCCAGCATCTTCATGCGGCCATTCTGCAGCTTTGAGGAACCTTCCGCAAAGGAAAATCCCCCCACACCCTTCTTCCATTCTGGCAGAGACCCGTGTGCCCATGAAACCCGCACCTGGTGAAAAAGAAGGGGGAGTATATGAGGCCCCGCTGAGTGCTGCTAGCAGCAGCAATAGAATGGCAACCCTCAGACGGCACACATGGCAGTCATTTTTTGGAATCAATTTCGAGAATTCTCATAAGTGACTTCAAGTCAGCCCTCAGATGCTACACACGGTAACAGGGCAACCGAGGCCAGAAACCTTTCACAACTAAACTAACCTATCCATTCCAAAAGCACGTCCAGATCCCAACAAAGCCTCATCTCACCCGCTGGTCGCGGACAATGATAGTCGAGCGGCCGTCCTCCCCTGCAGCAATAGCAGCCTCGGCCTCGGCGCGCTGCTTGAACCCCACGAACCCGTAGCTCTGCAGCTCCACCATGCGCGCGTGCACCACCGCTCCGAACCGTGAAAACGCCTCCGTGAGCTCGGCGGCGGAGGTGGCGGGGTCCAGGTCGCCCACGAACACACGGTGCTGCTGCCCTGCTGCGCTGCTGCTCTCCTGCCCTGCGCCCCGGCCTCGGTTGCGACTGCCCTGCCTCTGCTGCCCGGCCTGCTCTTTGCGGTGGTCTCTGTAAATGTGGCTGCGGCTGTGGTGGCGGTGGCTATGGCTATGGCGATCATACTCACGGTGATGGTCGCTGCCTCTCTCCCTGTCACATTCTACTCCCTCGCCTCTGCTCCCATCCCTCCCCTTGTGCCGCTTCTCGTCCCCCCTCTCATACTCACACCCCTCCCTCGCTCCCCTCTCCTCGCTCCCATGCCTCTTCCTCTTCCCCCCTTCCTCCTCCTCGTCCCCCGCCCGTCCCCTGCCCCGCACCTCATCGTTCTCGCGATCGCCCTCCGCACGACCCCTCTCCGCGCTCTCCCCGCCCCGCGAGTCCCCGTGCACAGGCGCTGCTCTGCGGAGCGGCGCGGGGCGCTTGAAGCTCGCGGCTCTGCCCACCTGCGGCGCAGACGGCGTTGACGGTGTGGATGGCGATGCGAGTTCGGTGGCGGCGACTCCAGGTGTCGCTGGGGAGGACGGCGACGAGGCAGGCGACGAGGAAGCTTCCTTGGGGCTCGAACGTGCTTCCTGCTGGGAGGGAAGCGGGGTGAGGGTGAAGGGGAAGGGGTGTGGGGGTTGGGGGAGGTGTTAAACAATGCGGGCGGCTTGTCGAACCCTTGCTTACCTTGCTCTGCAAAAACATTACCATTTCCTTCACCTGCGACAGCATTCTCGCATCACTCGCTGCGACAATATCGCTCACCTTGCTCTGCGACGTTTTCGCTCACCTTGCTGTGCAGCATTATCGCCTACCTTGCTCTGCGACATTATCTCTCACCTTGCTCTGCGACAGCACCCTCCTCGCCTTCTCCAACGCCTGCTGCAACCGACCGCGCTCGTCCAAACCGTCCCTCCGCGACGCGCGCTCCACCGTCCGATCATCGTCGACCCGCTCCATCTCAACCTCCTTAGGCTTGCTCGCCTCTGCCCGCCCGCGCTCGCCCTCCCTCCCCTCCCTCGACTCCCGCTTCCCCGCACCAGCCCCGTCCTTCAAGCGCGCGGGAGACGTATTCGACCGCCTTCCGCTCTCCGCGCCCGAACCAACCGCCTCATCCTTTCGCTTCTCCCGCCTTTCCCTTTCCTCCCGCTCCTCCCGCTTCTTCCGCTCCTCCCCCCTCTCCTTAATCTCATCTGATCTCTCACTCGCTTCCCCGCCCGTCCGCCGATCGTCTATCGGCGGTGTATGCATCTCCCACCCGCCCTCCGCTTCCTTCCTTCCCTCGTTCCGCGAACCTTCCTTTCTAGTGCGTCTATGCTCCTTCGTATTGCGACGAATATCCGTTACATCCGCGTCGTCGGATTTCACACGCTCATCACGATCAGTGTGCTCATCGAATTTGATACGCTCCTCGCGGCTGCTCCCGCTGTCAGCACTACTCCCCCCGCACCCCTCGCTCTCCCCGCGCGGCGCATTTGGAGCGGCGCGCGAGACGTCGACGACCACGCCGCCTACCTTGAGGCGCAGCTTGAGCGGACGGCGAGGCGCAACGGCCGTCGCAGCCTTGCCGGCCTCCAAATCTGGATCGGACCCCATGGGGAGCGATGCGCGCTCACGCGCCGACTTAGCGGTAGAAATTGGAGATGGAAGCGCAGCTTCCAGTGACGCGACTGTCGCTTGCGGCGCCAATGGTGCCTTTCTCCACCGGGGCCCAGAGGTTAAAAACCGGCGCACACACGGACACCACGAGGACGGAAGCAGTAACAGCGCTTACGGCACAGAAGAGCGCCAACAAATCTCCAGGCAGCTAGGCTTACAAAACGGTTGGCGCAACTGAAGCAACTACGCAGTACTAGACAGCAAAAAAATTGCCCCCACCTCGTGTGGTAGGTTTGGGGAGAATTTGGGGAGAGGCACGGGGCTGTTTTGCAAACCCTGAACCTCCGTTATCACGCGTGTCGGCACGTGCATGAAACGCGATTTCCAACCAATCGGAAACGTCGAACAACATGGACACTAATTGGAACCGCTAAAAAATGGTGCGCTACAAGGAATAATAAAGTTGGAGCATTTAGGCGTCCCTCAAGTTGTCTGAGGCTACAATAAGCTCATGTGTGATTCCTGGCTCGTACATGGAATGACCTGCATTGGGGACTGATGTTGGGAACAGCGAAGGGAATAAAAATTAAAAGTAATAAATAAAAACATAACATGACAGCAGAACGTTGAGGTGAACTGAAAATGAAAGCGAGGAAACATCCAACAATACACGTACCAACTCGAAGTTGGGCTTCTGGCCAAGCATGATGAAGGTCAATGGCGTTCTGCACAAAACACGACAAAAACCAGGAGAGAGTAAGATAAGAAATCTTGACACAGATCATCCTCAAGTGAGTACGAAGCAAATGCGACAGTTGCCGCGAGGAGGCTTACAACGAGGGGGCAGACAAAGTCATATCGGCCGTGCACAATGACGGTGGGGATGTGCCGGATGGCATCGATGTTGCATAGCAGCTGGTTCTCGGTCAGGAAGCCATCATGATGCTGCTCTCAGAGCAAACACATGGGATAGACACACAGCCGGGGTTGGTGTTTTTCATTAGCGAGGTCACGCTGGGACAGATATGCAATCAGTAATGCCATGAACAGAGTATGCTGTTGTGAATGAATGCATCCATGAAGAGAGTGTGTTACAGGGAGAGAATGGAGGGGTGGGTCGTGCCGGGTGCAGCAACTCACGAAGTAGTGGCACTCAATGCGTGCCTGCGCCACTGATCCCAATATGTGCGGCCCTCCCATCAAGTCCTTCCCTGCTGCATCGCTCATATCCTCCCTCCTCTCCTTCCCATCCTCTGACTCCCCTTCTCTCTTCTCTGCTGCTGCTACTGTGTGTGCAGGTGCGTGTGCTGTTGGTGCTGGTGCTGGTTCTGCGCCTGCTGCTTCTGGTGCTGATGCTGGTGGGGCTGGTGCTGCCGCTGCCGCTGATGGTGCTGCTGTGGTTTCCAGAGGAGGATCAGAACCAGAGGGGGAGGCTGGGGACGAGGAGGAGGACGGGGGTGCTGACGAGGGCGGAGATGAAGGGGAGGGCGGAGGGGGAGGGGAGAGGGGTGAGGGGGGGAAGGAGTAGGCGGAGCCATCCCAGGCGAGCAGGGCAGCGGGGGCGGAGGCGCTGGGGAAGTGGCTGAGCGACATCTCCCACCGCATCCATGCCCTCGCCTGGTGGGGTGGAGGGGGGGGGTGGGGAGTTGGCAGGGAGGTGCAGACGTGGGATGGTGATGGCAGCAAACTCCTGAGTCGACTCAAAGCGCAGCAGGGGCGGAGGGACTGCGGAAGTGGCTGAGAGACATCTCCCATGCCCTCGCATCCATGCCCTCCCCTGGTGGGTGAGGTGGCAGGGAGGCGGGGACACAGAATGATGAAGGCATGTATGTGAAGATGGTGGGACAACGGTACGGGCCACACAGCCCATGCTTCACCTGCTTTCCTTGCCGCACCCCGCACTGCCACGACCCACAGCGGGAGGCAGCATAAGGAGGTGGTGAGCAGGGCTAGGCCAGGTATGGATAATGCGACATGATGTGAGGTGTGTGAGTGGACTCACAGCACTGTCTAGTTTTGAGGCGCCTCAAAACTAGGCAGCATAAGGAGGTGGTGAGCAGGGCCAGGCCAGGAATGGACAAAGCGACATGATGTGAGGTGTGTTAGCACTGCCATGACTCACAGCACTGTCTCTGGCGGCTGCATCGGTGCTCATAAGCCTCTCGTAGAACGCAGCCACCACACTCCGATCCCCGGTTCCATTCCCATCTCCACTCCCACCGCCATCATCCGCGTCGCCTTCCGTGTGTGTGGGAGCAGGGGCGGGCAGCGCGACCATGAGGTCCCGCCACGCGAATGGGAAGAGTGCCTCTGCCCCGCCCTGCCAGGGGAGGGGTGAACGATGAGGGGGTAGGGCTGAAGTGGTGGGGCTGAACAAAACCACACATGCGCGTGTGTGGGAGCAGGCGAGGGTAGAGCGGCCATGAGGTCCCGCCACGCGAATGAGAAGACTGCCTCTGCCCCGCCCTGCCAGGGCGAAAGGTTGGAAAAGCATGTGCGGTGGGGGAAGAGTGAAGTGACCAGTGCGGGAAACATCGACATATCTCCTCCCAACACCAGAGAATGCTGGAATGAATACTGATCTCGGTGCTCTTTTAAAGGAGCCGTGTGCCATTGTAACGAGGTGACTTTTGAGTCGGCTCAAAAGTCACCTTGCTGGAATGAATACTGATCTCGGTGATCTTCTAGAAGGAGCGAATGCATTGGAGAACCAAGTAAGGCACACGATGATAGCAGCCCTTACCGGGCGGTAGAACCAGTCAATCTCTCGGCGCCGCAGCAGACACACCCCCCGCAGCACCATGCCTGCCACCCTCCCCGGGTGCGCCTGCGCGTATGCCAGCGCTAACGTTGTGCCCCAGCTGCCGCCCAGCACCACCGCCCACCTGGTGTGGACGCACAGGGCGGGGACACGATTGAGGGGGTGAGAGAAAGTGGGTGGGCGAGGGAGCGACAGTGAGGGAGTGAAATGATGGTGGGAGAGAGAGAGGGTGAGGGTTAGTGATGAAAATTTCGGTTCTTGCTCGTTCGAGAGAGCGAGAGAGAGAGAGGATTAGCCTCTCCCCTTCTACCCTCTGCCCTCTGCTTTCTGCCCTCTGCCATGAGTACTTAAGGCCATGGCGGCCTCTCCATCCCTCATTCTTTCAGTTAGTGCTGAAAATTTCGGCCTTCGGCCGCGCGTTAGGGATGGCAAGGGGGAACAACAAGCAGTAGTAGCTTAGGCAACCGATACAAGCAAGGCAAGCAAGAACACCTAGCAAGACGACGATGGAACGGGTCTACACGCGCAAGGGGGGAGCGCCTACATGCGGTCCGCCTCTACCGCAGCGAGCATTCCACTCGTGTTCAACCACAACTGGCGGACCACTAACACGGTGGCGCCTACAACGTCAACAGGAGTAACAGAGCCTGCTACAAGCGTCCTCAGAGCCAGGGCCGAGTCAGCCAGCTGGCTGGCCGAGGTTGCTCCCGACGAGGGCCCTACCTGCAATGGCGTTACGAGCGCGAATAGCGCTGATGCCGCCGCATGGCAATCAGCTCGCGGCTTCTGAGAGAACCTGCTCGGAGGGCTCACCGGCATGGAGTCAAATGACTCCTGAAGAATCTGCTCAAGGCTCTGCAGGGACGGCGCCAGCGACCATAGGCGGGCCAGGGTCGCCGTGGGAACTTCCTTCATCGGCGGAAGCAACGCAGACGCTCGGGCACGGTGAGACGACACGGCGAGATCACGCGGAGCAGGAAGAGGACATGGCGGAGCAAACTGAGCCCACGTCGGCCCGTCACCAGCGCCAACGAAGCCCATCCCCGCAGGCAGCAGCCGCGCTGAGCGCGCCGGGGATCCAAAAGGATTGTGGGGCAGGAGCGCGGAGAGAGGGACGGCGGGAGCAGCGCGAGGAGCTGATGGTGACGCCGACCCCGCACGCGAGCGATGAAGCTCCTTCTCCACGTCATCAAACCGATCCAGAAGACGGCGCTCCATTGCAGACGGCGCTGGACGCGCTTTTCCGCCACGACTGTCACCTCCCCGTCGCCCACGACGCGCATGCCCACTTGCGTTCGAGCGCACAGGCGACTGCGGGCGAGATGGGCCCTGTGGACGCTGGCGGCCAGGGAAACGGTCCCCGTGATGAGGGGAGTAGAGCCGTTGGCGCTTTGCAGGAGGGGGCGAACGCGGAGCTGGTTGCCGACGCCCAGACATCTGGCGGGCGAACGATGACGATGCGAGCGGCGGTCACGGGATCGGCTCCGCGACGCCACGCGACGAGGCGAACGAGGCGACAGCGGCGAACGAGCCGCACCGTGACGATCGTCGCGGCGGCTCTCCTGCTTATCGTCGCGAGCTGCCGAGGAGCGACGGCGAGGCGAACGCTCCCGGTGCGCCACAGCCTCTGCGCCGGAGCGCGCGACTGACCCTGCGCGCGGGGGCTTCTGCGGTGACAAGGACCTGCCCGCGCGCGGAGCCAACTCGCGCCGCTGGTCCTCGAAGCGGCGGCGGATCTGATCAGCGGATGCCGGCGGAGCAACAGGCATGCTCGCGGCAGGGCGTGCAGGAGGAAGCGGACGGGGAGCGGATCGCTCTCCGCGGTGCAGTCGCGGCCCAGAGCGCCACGGAAATCCATTGGCAAACGCTCATGATGCTCCACTAGCACACGAGGAGCCGACAACGCCGTTCTCCCAGGCGCAACATGCGGAACCTGTGGCAGCTACCCCGCGGAGCGGACGGGGAAGCACGCGGGGGAGAGGCGGGCGACGAGGAGCGCGCGGAGGGCAGAGGAGCGCAGGCCAAGCGGGAAGGGGACCGCACAACCAGTTGCCAAGCCCAATCTGGTTGGGGGAGCCGGCGGAACGAGTCACGCGCCAGTCATTCGCCAGGCGGGGGGCGAGGGGAGGAACACTAGCGCAAGCGGGGAGAACCAGGGATATCAACATAGAGGGGAGTGGAGACGATTATATACCGTCAGATCTGAGGCAACCAGACAATCCCGACTCACCTCACGCGGAACAAGGAGAGGGGCAAGCGCAGCAATAGGAGAGAGGAATCGGCCGCAGACAGCATCGCAGAGCTCAGCTTCCCCCGGACCAGGCACTATCGGCGTCCCAGCTGGCCTCGTGGGAGGATCTTTTCCAGATCGCGATGACTTGGGACCTTACACTCCTAACCTCCACCACCCACCTACCAATCGTCCGCCGACTGCCGCCGCAGATCCTCAGCGACTACTCCACCTGTATGCTGGTTGCCCTACTTCGGATCTCCAAGCTGCCTAATTGCGCAGGAGCATGGCGGGTCCTCATGTTCCTGCCACGTCTCACGCTAAGACTTAGCCGGAGATCCAGCTCTAGGTGGAAACTGCTGCGGGAACAGATGCATCTATTTCGATGTGGCCACTGGACCCATGTACACTGACTATTTGGGGTCAATGCACCTGGCCGAACCACCTCAGCACCAACGTGACCCACTGGGAATCTGCTCACGTGCGGAGGGGTTGGTGAAACGGGGTAACCTGCGAAAGGCGTTAGCAGCCCTACCACCCTCGCCTTCAGCACCTGCGACAATTCCGACACTACAGCAGCTGGAATCGAAACACCCCCAACCCCAAAATGACCTGCCCGAGTGGGTGCAGTCCTACACCACACCCATGCAATTTTCAACCACTCTGGAACGCTTTTCCGACGTCCTTGGAGAATGCCCCAGGGGAATTGGGGCTGGCCCATCGGGGTCAACTTTCGAACACTACCGCGATCCAGCGCTAAGTAACATCGAGGTACTGGGGCACCTCCAGTCCGCCGTTTCGCATCTTCTCTCGACAAATCTTTCCACTGAAGTCACAGCTCTACTTGCCCCGTCCTGCCTTATAGCCTTCGCCAAACCAGAGGGGGGGGGGGTACGTCCCATTGCGATTGGAGAGTCATTGCTTAGGCTAGCGGCGAAGGTGGCGCTCTTAGATCTGCAAGGAGAAACGCGAAATTTTTTCCTACCTCAACAATTTGGCGTGGCAGTCCCTGGAGGTGCAGAATTTGTCATCCATGCTGTCCGAGACCTCACCACGGTGCAGCCCTCCAGCCTAGTACTCCAGCTCGACATTGAGAACGCGTTCAACTCAGTAGAGAGGAGCGCGTTCTTCAACGCACTCATCGGCTCCCCACTAGCTCCCCTAATCCCCTTCACACGCTCTTTCTACGCAGCATCTTCACCACTGCTGCTAGACCCATGCTTCAATTCCATGGCACTCACCAGCGAAAGGGGAGTCAGACAAGGGGATCCCCTCGGACCCCTGTTATTCGCAGCGTCTATCCAGCAGCACCTCAGGCATGTAGCAACGGAGCACCCGGAAGTCACGGTCCTCGCTTACGCGGACGACATAACCATGATTGGACTCGCGACGGCGATGCTAGAAGCTCTCAGGGAGCTCATGCCGCTGCTGGCACGGGACGGTTTCACCTGCAACTTTAGGAAGTCGTCGGCGTGGTCCACTGTGCCGCTAGGAGGTGACGTACTCCCCGAGGGCCTTCCCCTCACCCGCGAGGGGGTGCAGGTGTTGGGAAGTCTAGTGGGGTCGCAGAGCTTCTGCTCTGATTTTGTCCGCAGTACCCTGACAGACGCGGCAGCCCCCTTGGGCTCTCTAGCGTCCATCCACCCACAACACGCCCTCCTGCTACTGTCTCGTTGCATCAGCCGCAGAGTCAGCTACCTGCTGCGCACTACCCCAGCTGACGTCTTACCGCTCTCGGAATGGCACACATGGTGCGCCGAATTACTAATCACTGCCTTGACCGCCGCCAGCATTCAACCGCCACGCCGAGAAGCCGAGTTCAACTTCCTTCTCCGACAAGCAACTCTCCCAGTAGCCCTAGGCGGGCTGGGCCTTACGGACCCCACAACTGAAGCAGCATCGGCCTACCTGGCATCTACAACAGAGGCGCTACGCCTGCTCCGCTCCCTGGACCTACCGGCAACCGCGCCGCTAGGGGCCAACAGCAATGCCCTGCAGCCGTCTGCAGCGCACTCCGTGACCATCCATGACATGGAGGGGCGACTGCCACCGCTGGCGCTACAAAACCTACGGGAGGAGCAGCAAACCCCGTCCCAAGACCACCTGCACCGCGCTCTCTCCCAGGAAGTGCACGCGGCAAAGGCCGACGCCCTAAGAGAGGAGTCACGCACAATACAGTCAGCCCCCGACATGGGCCACACACTCCGCCTAGTCAGCCTGAGAGGAGAGGGAGCAGGAGCGTGGCTGCAGGCACTACCCTTGACCCCGGACCTCTGCTTCTCACCGGGTCAGTTCCGAGCGGCCCTGGCCTTCCGCATGGGCATCCGACAGAATGTACCAACCGTGTGCGAGTGCGGAGAACTCGTAGCCGACTGCAGCCTACCCAACCACTTACTCCGCTGCAGCACAGGCCCCGACAGGACGCGCACACACAACCAGCTGGCCTTCGCCATGGCTAAAATGGCGAGGGAGGTGTAGCTGGTGGTATACCTGGAGAACGCGATGTACTCACCATCGGATGACCCGAAGAAGGCAGATGTGATTGTACAAGACCCGGACAGCGGAGAGACCTGGATCACAGACACCACTATCACTGACCCTGTGCTGCAGAACCGAGACCCCACGGCCCGCAAACCCCCAGGTTGGGCTGCAAGGGAGGCACAGAAGCGGAAGGAGAGGGACTACTACCGACACACTGAACACGTAGTGTTCTGCACCCTGGCCGTCGAGACCTATGGGGCAAACGCGCCCCCCACGACGGCTCCTGAAGATGCTGGCCACAGCAGCAGCTAGGAACCGCTTCAGGGCCAGCCCCTTGGCGAAATCCGCCAAGAAGATGGCCTGCCACTTCAGCCAGCGCTGGTCAGTGGCCCTCCAGCGCTCCCAGGCGAACGCCCTGCACACCAAGGCCAGGGCTGGGATTGAGGTAGCACACCCCCAGATGGCAGCGGACCCCTGGCCGCTGCACCTGGGGGACATCCTCCACACGCTGGAGGGCTAGAGGGTCACTCGTGGGGGGGGGGAAGAGGGGTGAGTTGATGGGCTTATGGGATTGAGGCTACCATGGATAGAACCGCATGTCTGTACCCCTGCTGAATTAATACAACGGACCATTTGAGGGTGAGGGAGTGAGGCACGGAGCCCCAGCTGCCAACCGAATGCACAATGCAGCAAGCAAGCACCAAGAGGCCGTCAACTGTCCGCGCACTGCTCCTGCACGCACGTCGCACCCTGCAGGCGTGGACCTTGTAACTCACGTGAAAGGCCACCCCAGCCTCTCCTGTCCACCTTATCGCCTCCAAGTCCCCCACGCACGAGCAGGTCCGTGCGGTTGTCCACCACGCACCCCGCAGGAGTGGACCTGATGAGTCAACTGGAGCAGCCACCCTCACCTGTCCACCTTGAGGTGCTCTCTTATCGCCTCTATGTCCCCCACCAGCAGGTCCGTGCGGTTCTCCACCACGCACCCCGCAGGAGTGGATTTGCCTGCCCCCCGCTGGTCGCACAGCACGATGCGGTACGCTGCCGGATCGAAGAACCGCGCGTGGTTGGGCCAACACCCCGCGCCTGGCCCCCCGTGAAGGACTGGTGGGGAGAGAAGGGGGAGGGGAGAGGTGCAAAGGAAGGGGTTGTGTGCAGTGCACAGAACCTGCTACTTGGGGTCCCCTGCAGGGGTGGACCTGCCTGCCCCGCGCTGGTCGCACAGCACGATGCAGTATGCTGCCGGGTCGAAGAAGCGCGCGTGGTTGGGCCAACACCCCGCGCCTGGCCCCCCGTGCAGGACTGGTGTGGAGAGGAGGAGGGGGAAAGCCGGGAGAGGCGGAAAGGGAGGGGTTGCGTGTGGTGCACAGTAGGTGCGGAAGGACTGGAGCGGGAGAGAGGCGGGAAGGGAGGGGTTGCGTGTGGTGCACAGTAGGTGCGGAAGGACTGGAGCGGGAGAGAGGCGGGAAGGGAGGGGTTGCGTGTGGTGCACAGTAGGTGCGGAAGGACTGGAGCGGGAGAGAGGCGGGAAGGGAGGGGTTGCGTGTGGTGCACAGTAGGTGCGGAAGGACTGGAGCGGGAGAGAGGCGGGAAGGGAGGGGTTGCGTGTGGTGCACAGTAGGTGCGGAAGGACTGGAGCGGGAGAGAGGCGGGAAGGGGGGAGCGGAGGAGGGGCGTGCGTGATTGAGAGAAGGGAGGGGAGGATGGGAGAGGGAGGAGGAGAGAAATAATAAGGGGGGAAGGGGGAAACAGGGGAAGAGAGTCCAGACATGGGATAGTCCCGAGAAGTCGAGGGTGCGAGGGGGCACTGACACAGGGCGGGTTTGCCGGCTGGGTTGCCATAGACGCGGTAGTAGAGCGAGTGGATGGCGGAGACCTTGATGTGCCCCTCCGCGTGGTGCGCGCCCGCGGGGTACATCCCGCGCAGGGGCGGAGGGGGACCCGGCGCTGTGGTGGGGGGAGGCGGAGGGGCGGTTTGGGCGGCGGATGGAGCGGAGGGAGGGGAGGGGGCGGGAGAGGGAGAAGGAGAGGTGGTGAGGAAGGAGGAGGAGGAGGAGGAGGAGGAGGAGGAGGAGGAGGAGGAGGAGGAGGAGGAGGAGGAGGCAGGGGGTGGTGGTTGCTTCCAGGCTACAATGGCGAAACGTCCTCGTCGCCTGCCATGCCACGTCGCTTGCCTCGTCGCATGCCTAGTCGCATGCGTCGCGAACGGCAGTCCATCCACGATCTCCCCCCAATTCCTGACACCCCGACGCGCATCACCCCCGTACGCAGCCATGCCTCTCGCGACGCTGCTTGTCGCGCAGGGGCCATGGAAGGGGACCGCGGGGGACGGAGCCAAGGAAACGGTAGTTCTGTGGAAAGGCGGATCCGGTGTGCGTCCGCACGCAGCAGCGGCGCGTGTCGGACACGCGTGCGCTGCCCGCGTGAGCGCCATGGGACCGCAGCCGGTCGCGATCAGGCTTTAAATAACGTCAGGGGAGCAATGGCTTGTGATTAGCGATCGCGAGGTGCAGCTGACTGATTCGAAAGGCAGCTGATCATGCGGATCGTGTGTGAGAACGACTTGGAGGATCATCATGAACCATGGGGATATGAAATGGCAGCAGTTTGGTGGTCAATCGTCAGAAGTGAAACCTCGAGGTTGCCTTTTTGGCGAGACCCGATATGGACTGTGGGATTGTCGTATTGTGCAGTTTTCGTACCTTGGTTACACGTTTACAGCGAGAATTTGGCTCTGCGGCCAGTTTTGGTAACTGCAATTTCCCACTTCGTCAGAGTATTTCGTCGGGCTTTCAACTCCCATCATCAGTCGTTTCCTTGCTTCTGTTTGCTTGTGGGAGCACATCAATATCTGCTAATCTCGCTCGAAACCGCTGAAAAGCTTTTCACACCGAACGATAAAGTGGTATGCCGATCGAAACCGAAAGCCCCCTGTCCGGCACCCTTCAATCTTGACTGTCGCACACCACCAGACTGGGTTTCAGCGAGTGCCTCTCTATTCAGTCACTTCCAGAGCCATTCCTCCCACGTGGGCAATTCTCTCCCCCTGAATCTCCCCACGTGCTGCCAAATCCATCCATGTGACTCCGTCTCTCCCACTTTTCTGCCTCACTCCGCGCTTCATTGATGGTCGTTAGTCTGATCTTGCTTTGCGAGATCTTTCATTACTAGTGACTGAATAACCGCCACGTGGATGGATCTGCGGCAGAAGATCCTATCGACGGTGCACGCCACGGTGCACGACCACCGCCATCGCCCCCACAACAATGGTGACCCTCCGGGAACGAGCTTTTCAGAAGTAGAAGGTGCGCGGAAGTGTCAGAAATCAACACGTGAGCGCCATTGTTGGTCGTTGTAGACATTGTTGGGATAGTGTCGCACCGCGGAAATGCGAACGAGCCTCGTGTCACCGCTGGTATGTGTCTAGCACACGTGTGTGAATTCACGCCCACCGCGGCGCGCGCGGTTACGCTTCCCTCCTAATAAGAGCGCACTTTGCCGTTATCCTGTGGCGCGTGCGTGTGTTTGTATCGGGGGCTCATCAGACATTCAGGTGACGGCAACGGTGCCGACAGACACTGATAATGATGGGGGGAAGGCCGACGGTCTTCCGCAAACCGCGCAGCAGGGCGTGCAGCAGGGCAGTCAGAGGGGCAAATGGACGGAGCAAGAAGTCTGTGAGCCTCCTTCCCCCACCCTCCCCGCTCTTGGATATGCGCTCACGGTTTATCAAAGGAACAAAATTTCCCAGCTTGTACCTCCCAATCGCTTATCCTCTCGTTTCCCTTCCCCCTTCCTCCCTTGCTCCGCTCGTCCCCCCCCGTCTCTACGTCACAGCCCCAGCACCCAATCCTATCGCTTCCCTTCATGGCCTCTATTCTTTCTCCCCCCCCCCCCCCCCCCTTTCCCCAGTGAGCGTGCTCCGCGAGGCCTCCGCGGGCAGCGCGTCCGCGCCAGCCGCCGCGCCGCACAGCGCCAGCTTCGGCGCAGCAGCAGCGGCCTTCCGCGAGGGGCGGGCGGCAGCGGCAGGGGCGGGCGGCAGCGGCAACCCGGGCGGGGCGGCAGCGGGTAGCGATGATGGTCCAACCCGCGTGCAGCGGTTTCTGATGCGGCTGGCGGTGGCGCTACACGCGTACGGCAGTTCTGCCGCCCGCACGGAGTTCCTGATCGAGCGTGCCGGGCGGCGGCTGGGCGTGGACGTGAGCGTGGCGGTGCTGCCAGATTTGATTCTGCTCGCCTTCAACCGCGTGGTTGGGGACGACACTGCTGGGTGAGATGCGGTGCAATGTGGTGGGTGTGGTGGGCGTGTGGTGGGTGGGATCTGTGTGCATGCTAGGCGTGGACGTGAGTGTGGCGGTGCTGCCTGCCCTCATGCTGCTGGCATTCAATTCAACCGCGTGGTTGGGGACGATACAGCTGGGTGAGATGCGGTGAAAGGTGTGGTGCATGTGTGGTGCTGTGGGTGGGGTTACATGTATGATGTATCTAATGGCACCGTATGAGCGGGGGGTGCAGCGTATGACCGGGCGGTGCAGCGTATGAGCGGGCGGTGCAGCGTATGAGCGGGCGGTGCAGCGTATGAGCGGGCGGTGCAGCGTATGAGCAGGCGGTGCAGCGTATGAGCGGGCGGTGCAGCGTATGAGCGGGCGGTGCAGCGTATGAGCGGGCGGTGCAGCGTATGAGCGGGCGGTGCAGCGTATGAGCGGGCGGTGCAGCGTATGAGCGGGCGGTGCAGCGTATGAGCGGGCGGTGCAGCGTATGAGCGGGCGGTGCAGCGTATGAGCGGGCGGTGCAGCGTATGAGCGGGCGGTGCAGAGTATGAGCGGGCGGTGCAGCGTATGAGCGGGCGGTGCAGCGTATGAGCGGGCGGTGCAGCGTATGAGCGGGCGGTGCAGCGTATGAGCGGGCGGTGCAGCGTATGAGCGGGCGGTGCAGCGTATGAGCGGGCGGTGCAGCGTATGAGCGGGCGGTGCAGCGTATGAGCGGGCGGTGCAGCGTATGAGCAGGCGGTGCAGCGTATGAGCGGGCGGTGCAGCGTATGAGCGGGCGGTGCAGCGTATGAGCGGGCGGTGCAGCGTATGAGCGGGCGGTGCAGCGTATGAGCGGGCGGTGCAGCGTATGAGCGGGCGGTGCAGCGTATGAGCGGGCGGTGCAGCGTATGAGCGGGCGGTGCAGCGTATGAGCGGGCGGTGCAGCGTATGAGCAGGCGGTGCAGCGTATGAGTGGGCGGTGCAGCGTATGAGCGGGCGGTGCAGCGTATGAGCGGGCAGTGCACCCCTTGCATCCCTCCCCAGGCAGTGCACGCACATGCTGTCAGTCTCATGGCCGCGTACTGGCAGCTCCCAGCTATAGCCAACGCTCCTCTCTGCACCCCTCTGCACCCCTCTGCACCCCTATCAACCCTCCCCAGGCAGCGCACGCACATGCTCTCCGTCTCCCCTGATATGGATCTGGACAAGCTGGGGCGAGTGGATGAGTTGGCGCGCAGTGTGGGGCTGAGGGAGGCGCACAACCTCATGGCGGCGTACTGGCAGCTGCGGGCCATCGCCAACGCGCCGCCCACCTTCTCCCCGCCCATGCACCTGCTCGCCATGGCGCTCATGTCCGCCAGCGCTGCCGTGCTCTTCTTTGGCGGTAGGCCTCGCGTATTACGCCCATGCACCCCTCTGCACCTCTCTGCACCCCATGCGCCCATGCACCTCCTCGCTATGGCGTTCATGTCCGCCAGTGCTGCTGTGCTCTTCTTCGGTGCTGCGGGTTCCATACTCCTCGTGTGCACCTGTCCCTGCGCCGCTCGTGAGCCTTCCATGCACCCTGCGTGCGTCCTTTGCTCTGCCATGTAACCCCTTGCTCCCCACGCGCCCATGCACCTCCCCGCCATGCCACTCATGTCCTCTAGTGCTGCAGTGTTCTTCTTTGGTGCTGCGTGTTCTATTCTCCTCGTGTGCTCCTCCCCCTGCACCTCTCATGCACCTCCCATCCCATGTACAAGGCAAGCTTTCCCTGCTGTGCTCCCTTGCTCCCCATGCGCCCATGCACCTGCTCGCTATGGCTCTCATGTCATGTCCGCCAGTGCTGCTGTGCGCTTCTTCGGTGGTAGGCCTCCCATGCACCGCTTTGCACCACGCTGCGCCCCTTGTGGTGCTGTGCGCCCATGCACCTCCTTGCCATGGCTTCCATGTCCGCCAGTGCCACTGTGCTCTTCTTTGGTGCTGCGTGTCGTGTCCCATACTCCTCTCATGCACCTCCCATGCATCCTGAATGCGCCCCTTGCTGTGCGTGTAACCCCTTGCTCCCCATGCGCCCCTTGCTGTGCGTGTAACCCCTTGCTCCCCATGCGCCCCTTGCTGTGCGTGTAACCCCTTGCTCCCCATGCGCCCCTTGCTGTGCGTGTAACCCCTTGCTCCCCATGCGCCCCTTGCTGTGCGTGTAACCCCTTGCTCCCCATGCGCCCCTTGCTGTGCGTGTAACCCCTTGCTCCCCATGCGCCCCTTGCTGTGCGTGTAACCCCTTGCTCCCCATGCGCCCCTTGCTGTGCGTGTAACCCCTTGCTCCCCATGCGCCCCTTGCTGTGCGTGTAACCCCTTGCTCCCCATGCGCCCCTTGCTGTGCGTGTAACCCCTTGCTCCCCATGCGCCCCTTGCTGTGCGTGTAACCCCTTGCTCCCCATGCGCCCCTTGCTGTGCGTGTAACCCCTTGCTCCCCATGCGCCCCTTGCTGTGCGTGTAACCCCTTGCTCCCCATGCGCCCCTTGCTGTGCGTGTAACCCCTTGCTCCCCATGCGCCCCTTGCTGTGCGTGTAACCCCTTGCTCCCCATGCGCCCCTTGCTGTGCGTGTAACCCCTTGCTCCCCATGCGCCCCTTGCTGTGCGTGTAACCCCTTGCTCCCCATGCGCCCCTTGCTGTGCGTGTAACCCCTTGCTCCCCATGCGCCCCTTGCTGTGCGTGTAACCCCTTGCTCCCCATGCGCCCCTTGCTGTGCGTGTAACCCCTTGCTCCCCATGCGCCCCTTGCTGTGCGTGTAACCCCTTGCTCCCCATGCGCCCCTTGCTGTGCGTGTAACCCCTTGCTCCCCATGCGCCCGTCCACCTCCTCCCATGCATGGGCCGTGCGATCCGCACCGCAGGGTATCCTCGCACGCCCCTCCCTCTCAACGTCGCATCATCCCCTCCCCCCCCCTCCCCCTCCCCTCCTCGCACCAGGCAACATGTGGGACGGGCTGGTGGCGGCCATTCTGGGCTTCCTGGGAGGCGCCTTGGAGTATTGGGCCATCTCCAACTCACAGGTGCTCCTTATTCCACTCGCACTCACACATCCGCCCATTGCTCACCCTCTCGCCCTCCCTCACCAACAACAACGCCTCTGCTTTCCCTAAGTCCACTCGCAAGTCGCTGCTCTATCATGTCACCAGTCACCTCCATCCCCACCTCCTCCCTTACCCACCCCACCAGGCAGTGACGTCCATCCTCGAGTTCCTCGTGGCAGTGCTGGCAGCCTTCACGGCCAATCTGCTCGCATCCACACTGCTCAGCGGCCGCATCTGCATCTTTGCCACCCTCTTTGGCGCCCTCGTGTGGTTCCTCCCAGGTCAGACGCTCTGCTTCTGCCAGCCTGCAATCTCCTCATGATACCCCTCTGTCTCGTACCACAATGCTCCATTCCATCTGCACCTCTCCCCGTGTGCTCCATGCTCCATGCCCCACCCTCTTGACCGTGTGCCCAATGCCCATGTCTCCCCCACCTTCCTGCTTCTCCTACTCCTGCTGCCCTGTGTCACCTTCTCTCTCGTCCCCTCCCTGTCTCTCCCAGGTGTAACACTCACCTTTGGCGTGAACGAGCTGGTAGCGCGCACACAAGTGACGGGCACAGCAAGAGTGGCAGCGGCCATATTCACGTCGCTGCAGATCGGATTCGGCATCTCCGTGGGAATGGGGCTTTGCTTCTGGGCCGCCTCGCCCACTGCCCTGTCCGACTGCCCGCCCTCCAACCTGCCCCTCTGGACCAACATTTTCTGGTGCGTGCTTGTGCTGCGCTCTTCCATGTACCTGTTTCTTGTCCCCCTCCCCGCGTGCTCGTCCGTTCAACTCAATGTATCTCCATGGGCGTGAGGCTCTGCTTCTGGGCCGCATCCCGCACTGCTCTCACTCACTGCCCGCCCTCGCACCTGCCCCTCTGGACCAACCTCATCTGGTGTGTGCCTTGCTGCTCTGCTCTGCTCTATCGCCATGTCGAGAATCCGAGTGCTTCATTCGCTTGCGCCCCTTGTCCCCTTGCTTTCGGCACTCTCATCGAGGCTCTGGTGTGCCACAGGCGGGAAGCAAGGCAGTGCACAACCCTCCCTCCCTCTGCTGCATGTCGTATGTGCAGTTGCTGGTGACCCCTAAGCCAAGCCCCTTTCCGCACCATCTCCTCTCCCCTCCTCCCACCCCAGGTTCGCCATGTACGTGGTGGCGAACAACGTAAGGTGCAATGCATGCAGCCCCTGCCTCTTTGCTCCATGCATCATGCGCGCTGCTTTTCCCACGCCCCACCACCCCCCCAACCCCCCACCCGTCCCCACCCCAGGTTCGCCATGTACGTGGTGGCGAGCAACATTCGCTGCAACGCCCGATTGGACCAGTGGGACGGGATGACGCTGGTGGCACTCGTGGGCTACGTGGTATCAGAGCTCGCCTACCGCAACATCGGCAACGACACCGCTTCCGTTGTTGCTGCATTTGCCGTCAGCACGTCAGGTGGGTTTTGAGTCGGCACAAATGTCACATCGGCTCAAGAGTCACCTCGCTCGTGGGCTACGTGGTATCAGAGCTCGCCTTCCGCACCATTGGCAATGACACCGCCTCCGTCGTTGCGGTATTCGCTGTCAGCACATCAGGTGGGTTGGAATCATTCCTTTGCGCCCTTGCTTGCGCCACATCACATGAAAACAGAACAGAAAACAGACTCCTTGCCTTCCCCTTGCCTAGTACCTACCTCTCTCTGCCCATCCCCCACCTTGCCAACTCCACTCTGACACCTTCTCTCAGCTCTCTCCTCTCTCCCCCTCCCGCCTCCCCCACCAGGCACGCTCTTGTCGCACTTCGCTCAGGAGTTCCCTTTAGCGATGAAGATCTCTGGAATCCAGCTGCTCGTGCCGGGCGGCATAGGTGTGCGTGGCGTGGCAGCCATTCTCAACCAGGACGTGATGTCGGGCATCGGGTTTGTCTTTGAGATGCTCACGGTCGGCCTCGCCATCACAATCGGGCTCATTCTCGCGAATCTCGTGCTGCCCGAGTCCATGTTTGCGCATGGTAGCCGCCCGCATCATAATAAGAGGAGGCTAGCCGCGGATTTACGGGCAGATTCGATGGCGCATGGTGGGCTTGGAGGGCGTTTGGATGGGGCGAGGGGGAGGGATGAGGCGGTAGGGAGAGGATTTTGTGCAGATTCTGATGGGGGTGCGGGTGGTGGTGGGGTTAGAGGAGTGTTGGCTGGAGTGCTGGGTTTGGCTGGGTTGAGGAACCGGGGCAATGGGGAGGATAGGTTAGCTTCTGCGTTTTTGCCCCAGGTGAAAGAAGAGGAGGATTCGGTAGCATTCTAATAATAGTATATAGTAATAGTTCCGATAATTGATGTAATGGCTGCAAAAGTAGGCTCATTTGTTGGTCCTATCCAGCATTGATTTGCTTGTCTAATGCAGTTTTATCTGTTCCAGGAATGGTGCTGCTTGTTATGATAGTAACCCTTGTTTTAGCGAGGAACGGTTCGTCACATCAGGCAGCACGATTGTCGGTTTCTGGGCGGGAAATACAACTCAACAGCCGCACGTGTTTCTGGGGTGTAACTGTTGACTTGATGGAATGAACAACATGCGTTGTGCTCCTTTCGTGGCAAGCCGCGTATTGGAGCTTGCCAGGTAATCCAAAACTTCTCGTTTCGAGCCCTCGATGCTGACGATTTCTGTCCCCAAACTCACGGTGCTGGCGGAATATTTCTTCGGCCTATCGCGGCGCGCAAATGCAGTCTCTTGTTCGTGAGCGACTCGGATGTCAATGGCTTATTGTGCCGATCACTCCCACTTGAGCCCCGCTGCTCCGAAGGGGGGGTTGGACTTACCAAGAGCCACTGCAGCTGAGATCGGCAAATCATTTTAGAGAAGTGAGAAGTATAATAGTTTCCCTAAGACCTCAGCAACTTGGAAATTGCTCTTGTGACTAATTGTCATTGTTCGCCCTGGATTTCTTCATAAAAAGCAGAGAATTTAGCAGAATTTACAGAAATTATACGTCACTTGTTAGGCTAGAACATGACTTCGCGCGGAGCGCCCATCTGTGCACTGATGCGCACCGGCGTCATCCTCGCACTCGCGGGGCTGCTGGTGGTTTCGCGCGTTAGCTTACTCGCATCGGCGCAACAGGCGGAGGCTCCGCGAGGTATCACCGCGAGTGGGCCGATAGGACACCACCTGGCGGACGCGGCGAGGGATGCGGCAGAGCAGGTGGCGAAGCGGCAGCAGCGGACGACGTCGCCCAACCTTCGCCGCCTGGCGCTCTTCGTCGACCCGCTGCCGATCCCGCCCGTCGTGGACACGTCCAAGCTGCCGCGTCGCAACGGAAAGTCGCCCAAGGTCACGATCGGCGTGTACAACGTGAAGCGGGTGAGTCACTCTCCCTGCCCTCCGCTGCTGGCAACACGCACGGCGGAAAATGTAACACGTGTGTCATCCGCCCCTGTCTCCCTAGGCCGCCGCCTTTCTCCTACATTCACTGCATTCTGCATTGCCACTTACTTCCCCCCCAGCCAGGTCCTACATTCGCGCCTACATTATCAGCTCTTCGCGTCAGGTCTAATCTTTTCCGCCCCCTTTCCTCCCCCCCTCCTCTTCCTCCCTCCCCGCTCGAGCAGAAGTGTCACCGCGACCTGCCGGCGACCAAGGTGTACGCGTTCGGGCTGTCACGCAAGGCGGCGAGCGTGCCGGGACCGACGATCGTGGCGCAGCATGGGCAGGAGCTGCGCGTAGAGTGGGTGAACAACATCACGGACAAGCAGCACATGCTGCCTCTCGACCGCACGCTCATGGTTCCCAACCTCAAGCTCGGTGGTGTGCCCATCGGTGAGTGCCGTAGGGCCGAAGGGATAGTTTCTCTGTGTGGCGTCCCAGTAAGGTTTTCCCATCGTGGAGTGGGCGAACAACAACACAAACAAGCAACACATGCTGGTGGTACTGATTCTCTCACGTGCGCTCTCTTCCCCATTTATCGCCTTATCCCCGCCCCCCCGCAGCCGTCCACGTGCACGGCGCGCAGGTGTCGAGCAAGTCCGACGGCCATCCGTTCGCGTGGTGGACGCACCAGGGAGAGCGCGGCCCCACATTCGCATCGAACACGTACACGTACCCGAACGGGCACGCGGCGAGCACGCTTTGGTACCACGACCACACGAGCGGCATGACGCGCCTCAACGTGCTCGCCGGCATGTTCGGCGCGTACATCATCCGCCACCTCGAGCTGGAGGAAAAGTTCAACCTGCCCGCGGGCAGGTACGACGTGCCGTTGGTGATTCAGGACCGCGCGTTTGTGAAGAACGGATGGACGTTCCTGCCGAGCCAAGGCGTGTCCAAGGTGCACCCGCACTGGATGCCCGAACACTTCGGCGACTTCATGACCGTCAACGGCAAGGTTCGTCGCTCGTCACGCTTTCCGTACCCTCGATTTACCTGCTCCAAAAGCATTTCGCCTGTTCTCGCACTGGAGATTGCCTCCCGATTTTTTTCCGCTGCAAACGCCCAAGCACCACACTCACCATCTCTCTGGTACGCATTTTCACCCCACGCGCGCAGGTGACCCCCTACATGCGCGTGGAGCGCCGCAAGTACCGCTTCCGCATCGTCAACGGCGGCACCGCGCGCTTCCTCGAGCTCGTCTTCCGCGCGGCCCCCGCAAACACCGATCTCACCCTGCGGAACGCGCTCTCCGCGACCCCGCAGCTCCCCTTCGTGCAAGTCGCCGCGGACGGCGGGTACCTCAACGCGCCCGTACCGCTCCGCCGCTCCGTGCTGGGTCCGGGGGAGCGCGCGGACATCGTCGTCGATTTCTCCAAGCTCCCCGCGGGCACCGCAGTATACCTGACTAACCGCGCGCCCGCACCCTATCCTGGCGGTGCTGTTCCGCAGGGCGACCTGCGCTTCGTGATGCGCTTCGACGTCGTGCCCGCGACGTCCGCCGACACGACGCGCGTGCCAGCCACGCTCCTCAGCATCCCAGCCGTCGATCTCACCAGAGCCGTCAATTACAAGGCGCCGCGGATCATCAGCCTCACCGAGGTGGAAGATCCCGCGTCCGGCGCGCCTGAGTCGGGGCTGATGGAAGGGAAGCATTTCAGCGCGCCCGTGACGATTAAACCTAAGTTCGGGACTATGGAGGTATGGTACATAGTCAATCTGTCGGAGGACACGCATCCCGTCCACATTCACTTCGCGCCGCATCGCATTCTCTTCCGCCGCCGCCTCAACACGACGCTGGTGGAAGAGAAGAAATGCAGCATGGCGGGCGGAAGCTGCTTCGTGGGGCGCGCAGTCGCGCCGCACCGGACGGAGCGCGGGCGGAAGGACACGAGCAAGGCTCCGCCCGGGTGGGTGACGGCGGTGGCTGTGGATTTCGCGCCGTGGCAGGGCAAGGCGCTGTCGTTCGATCCGCGCGAGGGGCCAGGATACGTGTTGCACTGCCACATTTTGGATCACGAAGACAATGATATGATGCGCCCCTTCGTACTCGTTTGAATGGCGCGAGTGTTGGCCTATCTCGCTATACATCACAGGGGACGTGTACAATAGGAATGCATGGTAGGGTCAACACTGATGTGATATATTAAAATTCGCTGATGCCAACAGCAGTTTAAACGGAACATTAATATTACACCATTGTTTACTATCCGTCCAATAAACCAGATGCATATAGTGCCAATAAATGACGTCATTGTGTGCAATACATCAAGCGGTCTATGGCTGCTGCCAGCGTGCCTTGATCTCCTCTGACGCGTTCTCCATCCGATTAACCGTCTGCGTGATTATATTCCCCACCGCCGTCTGCTGGATCATCTGCCCCACGCGGGTGGCGAGCGACGTCTCTTCTGCGACCTGTGAGGCGTCGGTGCGGCGGTGCCACTGTAGCTCGAGCTGCAGCTGGCCCTTGGAGTCGATGAGAGGGTAGAGGTCGTTGATGCGCCCGTTGATCACCACGTCGCTCAGCTGTATCTCACAGTACCCCACCGCCTCCTGTGGGAGAGGACGGGGGAGGAGGGAGAAGGGAGAGGAGGAGGAAGAGAGTGGGGGAGTATGGTATGGGGAGATGATGATCAGAAAAGCTCAGCGGGATGGGTAGTGGAGGTTGGGCGGTCCTGAACAAGCAACAGCAGCAAGAAAGGCAGGAGGCCCTTGGAGTCAATGAGGGGGTAGAGGTCGTTGATTCGCCTGTGGATGTATCTCACAGTACCCCACCGACTCCTGTGGGATAGTGGGAGGAAACGAGGGGCGGGGCAAGTGCATGAAGGCACGAGAAATGCCAGAATTGAACAGGCAAGAGGGAGAAGGACGACAAGAGAAGCATGCGGTGGTGTAGAGGCTGGCAAGTAGGTGAACGGGAGTGTGGGTGGGGGCCTGACCTTGGAGAGGACGGAGAAGGAGGAGAGGGACTTGGGGGGGTGAACATGAATGGGGGTGAACATGAATGGGGGTGAACATGAATGGGGGTGAACATGAATGGAGGTGAACATGAATGGGGGTGAACATGAATGGGGGTGAACACGAATGGGAGTGAACATGAATGGGGGTGAACATGAATGGGGGTGAACATGAATGGGGGTGAACATGAATGGGGGTGAACATCAATGGGGGTGAACATGAATAGGGGTGAACATGAATGGGGGTGAACATGAATGAGGGTGAACATGAATGGGGGTGAACATGAATGGGGGTGAACATGAATGGGGGTGAACACGAATGGGGGTGAACACGAATGGGGGTGAACACGAATGGGGGTGAACACGAATGGGGGTGAGCAGGAATGGGGGTGAGCATGAATGAGGGTGAACATGAATGGGGGTGAACATGAATGGGGGTGAACATGAATGGGGGTGAACATGAATGGGGGTGAACATGAATGGGGGTGGACATGAATGGGGGTGAGCATGAATGGGGGTGAGCATGAATGGGGGTGAGCATGAATGGGGGTGAACATGAATGGGGGTGAACAGGAATGGGGGTGAACATGAATGGGGGTGAACATGAATAGGGGTGAACATGAATGGGGGTGAACATGAATGTGGGTGAACATGAATGGGGGTGAACATGAATGGGGGTGAACATGAATGGGGGTGAGCATGAATGGGGGTGAGCATGAATGGCAGTGAAAATGAATGGGGGTGAACATGAATGGGGGTGAGCATGAATGGGGGTGAACATGAATAGGGGTGAACATGAATGGGGGTGAACATGAATGGGGGTGAACATGAATGAGAGTGAACATGAATGGGGGTGAACATGAATGGGGGTGAACATGAATGGGGGTGAGCATGAATGGGGGTGAGCATGAATGGCAGTGAACATGAATGGGGGTGAACATGAATGGGGGTGAACATGAATGGGGGTGAGCATGAATGGGGGTGAACATGAATGGGAGTGAACATGAATAGGGGTGAACATGAATGAGGGTGAACATGAATGGGGGTGAACATGAATGGGGGTGAACATGAATGGGGGTGAACATGAATAGGGGTGAACATGAATAGGGGTGAACATGAATGGGGGTGAACATGAATGGGGGTGAACATGAATAGGGGTGAACATGAATGGGGGTGAGCATGAATGGGGGTGAGCATGAATGGGGGTGAGCATGAATGGCGGTGAACATGAATGGGGGTGAACATGAATGGGGGTGAACATGAATGGGGGTGAACATGAATGAGGGTGAACATGAATGGGGGTGAACATGAATGGGGGTGAACATGAATGGGGGTGAACATGAATGGGGGTGAACATGAATGGGGGTGAACCTGAATGGGGGTGAACATGAATGGGGAAGGAAGGAAAAAGAAACATGCGGCAGTGAGCAGACAGCCAGGCAGGCCGACAGGCGGGCGGGCGGGCAGGCAGGCAGGTAGTGGGGGAAGCAATACCTTGGAGAGGACGGAGAAGGAGGAAAGAGACTTGGAGAAGACTTTGATGTGCAGCGTGTCGCTCACTGGTGGCTTTTCAAGGAACACCTCGAACGGCTCCTCCTCAAATACCACGTCCGCCTGCTTCTTGTAGTGCTGGCACAAGAGGAGGAAGAAGGTTGGAAGGGGGAGGAAATGAAGGGGAGGTGGATGGGAGGAGGGTGCTCAACGGGAGTGAGAAGGGGAGTCATTGGAGAAGGGGTTGCAAGAGCGGGGAGGAGCAGCAGATGCTTGGCAGTCCTGGCTGCAATAGTTTCAAGGTTGCTCAAGAATCCTCCTCTCCCACCTGCCTCTGCTCCAAGACCCTCTGCCCCCACCTGGCGCTGCCACTCCTGGTTGCGGAAGTGCAGCACAACAAGGGGTTGGCGTGGTGCCGTGCCTCCAGCCCCTCGCCGCGCTTCACCCCTCCCTGCTTCACCCCTCCCTGCTTCACCCCTCCCTGCTTCACCCCTCCCTGCTTCACCCCTCACCTGCTTCACCCCTCACCTGCTTCACCCCTCACCTGCTTCACCCCTCACCTGCTTCACCCCTCACCTGCTTCACCCCTCACCTGCTTCACCCCTCACCTGCTTCACCCCTCACCTGCTTCACCCCTCACCTGCTTCACCCCTCACCTGCTTCACCCCTCACCTGCTTCACCCCTCACCTGCTTCACCCCTCACCTGCTTCACCCCTCACCTGCTTCACCCCTCACCTGCTTCACCCCTCACCTGCTTCACCCCTCACCTGCTTCACCCCTCACCTGCTTCACCCCTCACCTGCTTCACCCCTCACCTGCTTCACCCCTCACCTGCTTCACCCCTCACCTGCTTCACCCCTCACCTGCTTCACCCCTCACCTTCACCCCTCACCTGCCTCTGCCATTCTCCATTTCTCCCACGCAGCTGGTTCTGCCCACCCTCCCCTGCCTCACACCTGGTTCTCCCCCCCACCTGGCTCTGCCACTCTTGGTTGCGAAACCGCAGAACAACGAACGGGTTGGCGTGGTGCCGTGCCTCCAGCCCCTCGCCGCGCTTGAGGATCACGCGCAGCAGCCCGCCCCCCACCGGCACCCACTCAGGGAACGCCTCCGCCTCCTCCTCCTGCATCTCCTCCACATCCATTGGCGGGGGCGCCTCGTTCTCTCCCAAAGGGCTGGTGGGAATGAGGGCAGGCAAGGGAACAGAGGGGATTGAACGGCCTCGTCCCCCTCGCCTTCGCCTCCGCCTCCTCCTCCTGCATCCCCTCCACGTCCACTGGTGGTGGCGCCCCCAGAGGGATGATGAAAAAGGCACGACGAGGGAGAGAAAGGAATGGGGTGAGGGCGACACGCCGGCAGAATTGTTGGTGTCTGGTACTCTTGCCACACTCATTCCATCCACCACGTGCCATCCACCACGTGCCATCCATCACGTGCCATCCACCACGTGCCATCCACCACGTGCCATCCACAACGTGCCATCCACCACGTGCCATCCACCATGTGCCATCCACCATGTGCCATCCACCATGTGCCATGGCATGATATGTGTCTGTTTCACGCATCAAATGCCACATCATGCACGCACGCCACAAGCGCAGCAGCGAGCATACACCCACGTGTACAGCGAAAGCACATTTGAGTCAACTCAAAAGCACCCACGTGCACAGCAGGCGGAACCACACACTCCCTGTATCATGCCAGCTCCTCCTCCAAACCATCTGCCCTTGCCCCCCCAAGATGGCTGAAACGTGGCGCCAGGCGCAGTTCAAAGCTTTTGGGCTCGCCCACTGGCAGCTCGCTCCGCGGCACCTGCTACATGCATTCCACAGGAACAAAAAGGGAGCAGGCACTTACTTGTACAGCAGGCGGAAGCACACACTCCCGATGTCTCTTCGGCTCCTCCCCCCGGACTGTGCGCCCCCCAGGTCGCTGAAGCGCGGCGCCAGGCGCAACTCAAAGTCCTTCGCCTCCCCCACTGCCAGCTCGCTCAGCGCCACCAGCTGCACGCCCATCAGCCTGTCCGCCTTCCCCTGGAGAGGCACCGGGAAAATATGAGGGAGGAGAGAAGCAAGTACGAGAGGGTGTGAGAGATGGCTCTCCCTCTCAAGTATCAAAGTCCTTTGCCTCCCCCACTGCCACCTCGCTCAGTGCAACCTCCTGCACCCCGATCAGCCTGTCCGCCTTCCCCTGGGGGCATTCAATGGGAGGGTGGAGAGAAGTGGGTGGGTGAGGGGGCGAGGGGGGTGTGAGCGTTGGCTCTCATTCAGGCAGCTCAAAGCCCTGTTCCTCACCCACTGCTATCTCACTCACTGCCACCACCTGCACCCCCATCATCCTGTCCACCTTCCCTTGGGATGGGAAATGGGGCAGGATCAGAATGGCAGGAGCAGGCTTTAAATAGGGGGAGGGACGGGGGAGAGAGACGGGGATGGAAGGAACAAAGGCAAGGAAATGTGTCTCAACGCCCACAGCCATGCCACAGCCATGCGCGCCCAGCCCACAGCCTCTTTTGAGGCGCCTCGAAACCGGAGAGACCGGGAGACCGGAAAACCGGGATACCTGGAAACCGGGAAACCGGGATACCGGGATACCGGGAAACCGGGAAACCGGAATGCCGAGATACTGGGATACCGGGAAACCGGGATACCGGGAAACCGGGAAACCGGGATACCGGGATACCGGGATACCGGGATACCGGGAAACCGGGATACTGGGATACCGGGAAACCGGGAAACCGGGATACCGGGACTTAGTGGGAATATAAGCTTATTGCGTATATAAGCTTATCTTATATACGCACTCGTATATACGCTAAACACTTTCGGGCCGAGTTTGGGAATACGCTTTTCCGGGCAGAAAAAAAACTTCCCGGGCAGGGTCAAAAAAACCCTGGGAAGGGGGGGGGGGGGGGGGGGGGGGGTATGGGGCAGGGGTTTGGGGTCTGAAATTTCAGAGTACATTTTTTTCCCACTAAGTCACATACACCAAGGCCTGCACATAACTTTCCCCTACTCTCTAACTCTCTTACCACTACCATCACTACAATGGTACACTACACCATCACGACCATCACTTATATCCTGGACTCTCTAGGTACTACTCCTTAGGCCTGGCCGCCCACTGCAATGCAAGCCACATATGCCCCCTCTACTTAGCGTACTCGTCTTCGAGGATGTCGTCGTCGCTTTCCTCCTCATCCTCTCCCTTCGCCTCGTCTTCCAGCCCATTGTATCCCGCCGGGATTGGAGGCTCCGCTCCTATCCCGGCCACCACATGTGGCAGGACATCGGCGCGCGTGTGCCAGTTGCGCACAACATTCCAGTTGTGCGTAACATAGACCAAGTCCCTGCACTTGGCGGATCCGAGCCTGTTCCGACGTGCGGTGTGGACGACATCCCAAGATGACCATCCACGCTCACAAGGTGAGGCGGACACGGGCTGAGACAGCACCCGTACCGCTAGCCCCGCCACACGTGGAGCATCGGTCCCATTCCACTGCCACCACTTCACCATGCTATACTTCCCCTCTTTCACCAGCTTCCTTTGTGCCACGGCTTCCGGCATCCCAAAAGAACCCTTCATGTCAAGAAACGCCCTCAGCCCGTCCCCCAGCTCAAGCAAGATGCTGCAAGCGTCATCCCCCCCATCCCCGCGGCTCGCAAGGAACTCGGCGTACTGGCTGATGAACACCTTGAAGACCTTCGTGCACTCGAGATCAGTGCCGAAGATATCTTCCTCCTGATTGGCGGGGTTGAGGATGCGGCCAGCGACATGCATGGCGCATGCGAGGCTGCCGTCCCAGCGGTCTCTGAGGATCTTGCGGATCTGGTCCTTATCCGCGTTGCTCAGCTGCTCCTCGTCCGCATCGAGTAAGTCCCCCACGTCCTCAGTCAACTGAAGCATAACATCGTATATCCTCCCCATCATCCCCACGGCATGCCCGTCCGTCTGCCTCATCGCCTTATAGGGCAGCTTCAGGAGGGCAGTGAAGAAGTCGGCCGTCTTCCACCAGGCGGCATCATGGATCAGCGCAGCAAACGCGTCGCATGATTTCTTCCGGTCCCCTACCGCCCACTCCTTCCACCCCTCGCTCGTCACCATGTTGGTGAGGCTGCCGCGCATCGCACACAGCCGGGAGATGGAGATGTAGTTCGTCCCGAACCTCGTTCCAGCCGGCTTCAGCGCTTCCAGAACCTTCCCCTCCACCAATTCCGGCGTGCGCAGGTACCCGCGGGTCCAATGGTGGTTGCGGACGAAGCTGCTAATCTCCCCTCCCTTGTCGACCACCGGCTTAGCCCACCCCATCTTCCCCACGTCTTCCAGGAGAAGATCCATCACATGGGTGGCGCACGGCACGTCTTGAATGTGCGGCCACTCCTGAATCAGTCGCTTCACCGCCACCGCGTAGTTCGATCCCCCATCCATGCAGAACGCCACAACGTTCTCTGGCCCCACTTCCTCCACCACGGGCCTGAGAATCCCCGCCACGTAACCACCCGTTTTCTTCTCCATGTTGCAGTCAACACAGTCGTAGAAGACGGCGCCCGAATCATTGACGAGAAGAATGTTGGCCTGCGGCCTGCCCCTGCGGTCCGTCATCATGTCGGACGACACCGTCACGCCCGTCCGCTTCCAGCTCGTTTTGACGCCCACCAAACCCGCCTCGATGCCGTTGCGACACGCTACAAGGCCAGCACCGCCGACGTATTTCCGCTTGGGGGGGACGTAGTCTTTCCCGGCGCGGGAGACGTTGTTCAATGCGTTGACCATCAGAGGATGGTCAATGTGGCGCTCGGGGATGTGGAGGGCGGCCCAAGCAAGCGCAAGTGACTCGTCCGCTTCTCGCTTTCGTGCAGCCGTATCCCCCTCGAGGTAATCGGTGATTCGCGCGCGCTTCCCACCGTCAGCCGTCACTGCGGCAACCGCGGCAGCAGCGGCCCGCCTCCTTTCGTCGGCCGCAGCAGTCTTTGCCTCGTAATGCGCTTTCATGGCCCGACGCACATCTTGCGGCGCATCCTTGCACAGCACCACTTCACGGCGTTTCATGCCCTTCCACGACGCGAAGTGTTGCGCGCATCGGATGGCAGCACCGGTGTAGAGGTTGCTGCAGAACTTGCACTCGTACTGCTGGGCTTTACCCTCGACCCGCTTGACGATGCGGAAATGCTTGAAGACGACATGGTCGACGTCGGGGAGATACTCCCGTGCCTCGGTTAGAAGAGTCTGCGAGCTGCCAACGGTGTTAACTGACGGTGTCGTGGGAGAAGTGGTAGTAGTCGACATAGGCACCAGGCGCTAGGGAATGCCCAGTGCTCTGCTGGTAGCGGGAGAAGACCTAATGAGTTGGATGTTGGGGGTGTGCGTGTTTAATAGCGAGTAGATTGGGGGAGTTGGAAGATGGGCAACTGAAGTTGGAATCGCAATTGGTTGTGAAGGTTTTGAATGCGGTACTGACTGTGACCACCAAAATGTGAGGGAACGTGCAAGCGCGACTCGACGTACGTTACTTTCCATTCGCGGCTCAAACTTTCAACCCACGTCCACGCTAGCACACAGCGCGGACGTGACATTTGACCCCGCCAATGTGTTCGTCGTGCAATTCCGAAGCGAACCGTATAGGTTGAATTTTTTTGGCCGGGCTGCCCCTAAAAAAATTTGGCTAGCGTATAGCGTATTCGCTAGCGTTTTGCGTATTGCGTATAAACGCTAGCGTGTATACGCTAAACGCAAACAGTTCTGAGCGTATTTTCCCACTAAGTACCGGGATACCCGGATACCGGGATACCAGGAAACCGGGATACCGGGATACCGGGAAACCGGGATACCGGGATACAACCGGGATACCGGGAAACCAGGGAACCTGGAAACCGGGATACCGGGATACCGGGATACCGGGATACCAGGAAAACGGGAAACCGGGATACCGGGATACCGGGATACCTGGATACCGGGAAACCGAGAAACCGGGATACCGGGAAACCGGGATACCGGGATACCGGGATACCGGGATGCCGGGATACTGGGATACCAGGATACCGGGATACCCTGAAACCAGGAAACCGGGATACCGGGATACTGGGAAACCGGGATACCGGGTAACCGGGAAACCGGGATGCCGGGATACCGGGATACCACCGGGATACCGGGAAACCGGGAAACCGGGATACCGGGATACCGGGATACCCGGATACCGGGATACCAGGAAACCGGGATACCGGGAAACCGGGGAACCTGGAAACCGGGATACCGGGATACCGGGATACCGGGATACCAGGAAACCGGGATACCGGGATACCGGGAAACCAGGAAACCGGGATACCGGGATACCGGGAAACCGGGATACCGGGAAACCGGGAAACCGGGAAACCGGGATACCAGGAAACCGGGAAACCGGGAAACCGGGATACCGGGATGCCAGGAAACCGGGATACCGCGAAACCGGGAAACGGGGATACCGGGATACCGGGAACCGGGATACCGGGAAACCGGGATACTGGGATACCGGGAAACCGGGAAACCGGGATACCGGGATACCGGGATACCCGGATACCGGGATACCAGGAAACCGGGATACCGAGATACCGGGAAACCGGGGAACCTGGAAACCGGGATACCAGGATACCGGGATACCGGGATACCAGGAAACCGGGAAACCGGGATACCGGGATACCGGGATACCTGGATACCGGGAAACCGAGAAACCGGGATACCGGGATACCGGGATTCCGGGATGCCGTGAAACCGGGATACCAGGATACCGGGATACCGGGAAACCAGGAAACCGGGATACAGGATACCAGGAAACCGGGATACCGGGAAACCGGGAAACCAGGAAACCGGGATACCGGGATGCCGGGAAACCGGGATACCGGGAAACCGGGAAACGGGGATACCGGGATACCGGGAACCGGGATACCCGGATAACGGGAAACCGGGATACCAGGAGACCGGGAAACCGGGAAACCGGGATACCAGGATACCGGGATACCCGGTTACCGGGATACCGGGATACCTGGATACCGGGATACCG